GACAATATTGCAAACGGCTCAAATTCAAGGTACTCAAGTTAAAAATAAAGCTTTTTTTTTCAATACGTCATTTGCTCATACTATCAAAAATATTTTCTTCACTTGATGTTTTATCTTGAATAGAAGTTCACAGGAAAAAATCGTCAAACTTATGAGCGAAAACATTGCATCTTTTCAACCTCAATTCAGTTCAGAACAACTCATAAAAATAATAAAAAATAGTAATTGAGCTCAGTTTCCTGTATTGCTTACCATTGTCTTCCTAAAAAACTACTACTGCATAATGATTATTGTTGCATTCGTAGCATTCTTGACAACGTTTTCCAACTTTTTCATCTCTCTGTTTCGACGTTGCAATTCGTGATATTTTTCCCGCACGTAAAGCAGTTTTTTGTGAAATTATATGCGAGTATCAAAGAAGATTCTTACTTCTTGCCTAAAACAATCTTCGTTGCAACAGCATTCTTTTTTTTCCATAGTAAATACAGCAAAAAAATAAACTCATATTAAACTGTGGAAAAAGAGATTTCAACGGATTTGTTCGTTTTTTCTTTTACCCTGACCTCGGTTTGATGCGCGCGGCGCGCAGATTTGTGGGAAGTACTTGGGGAGGTCCATGGTGCTTTTCGCGCGCATGGGCAGACAGAATGCCTACATGCTGATGATAAAACAATATTTATTAGTATTCCTTACTAATCAAAGGTCTCAGGTTTGATACCTGATCATTGAACAATGCAGGATCTCAACTGATTGCAGTAAAACAGCCACCAGCGCTTCTATCGCATTTTATATGCGTATTTAACGTAGGATGACATTGCTGCTTTGTAAAGTGATTTGCGCATGATCAGTTTGGCCCATTTGTCTCAAAACTTATTTTTACGGCAATTTCTCTAAGAATTTTAAAGGATTTGAGTTTCAAATTAGAGTTTTTGAAGCCGTTTAAAACACTATTAAACTTTTAAACTGTTTTTCTTAAAATATAGTCTTTTATCAGGTATAAAGATTCTCGCCGACTCTCTCTCGTGTTTTAAACTATACATAAAATACAAACACTTTACTTAAGAAATAAAAGACGAAATTCCGTGTTTGATACTCTGATCAAAACACGCGGGATGTAGGGAGAGCACGAGAGAAGCGTAGGAAACCACGAC